ATGTATTTTTACTTATTGAACATGTCTGTATCAAAAACTCAATTTCTAGAAAAAGTGGACTTATTGCCTTTTCACGTTAAGCCAACGATATGATTGATCACCACATCCAAACCCCATTAGGAATGGGATCCATCATAATTTTAAACTCAAAAACCATATTGGATCCCTGATCGATTATCTTCTCTTAATTTTTATGGCAATTTTTTTGTACAAAACTCAATCTCATTTTATTCACGTGCTAACTCACACACATACACACTCATCCTCACTACACTTCAAATAGAGCACATTCGGTTGTTTATTATTCGGTTCGGCTTTTTTAATGGTTCACATTTCTTTTCACACTTTACTATTTGCAAAAATAAAAAAATCAAATAAAACAAACCCCAAAGAAAATAGAGAAAGAAATGTTTTTGATGCTAAAAATGTATTGAAAATAGAATTTATTTTGCAAAAGAAAAAAAAAGAAGTAGCAAAAATAAATTAGGAAAATATTGAGTCATTAAACACATGGATGGATGGGAGCAGAAGTTTCGTTTTCTTTTAAAACAAAATAGATGTGTGTATAAATTTAGAATACAATCTGGCTAAGTAAATCAATAATTTCGTTAATTTGCAATTTGTATCGAATTTATGGGGAATAATTGAAGAAATGTAAATGTTCTTGAAAGTTGTTGAGAAATTTTTTGAAAATCAGGCATGAAAACACAATATTGGAAAAAAAGATTAGAAAAATTCCAGACACATTATTTATTATGCCAAAGTCCGCTAAGTTTGATCATAATTTAAATACTGATCACACAAAAATGTTTCAGTGGAATTTTTATAATTCCTTTCGCAAATTAGCTGACAGTTTTGTATTCTTTTTTCAGGTATTCTTACTGGATTTATAGGAAAAAAAGTGATGTGCTGATACTCTGGAATCAGCAGCCAACAACCTGAAAAGCTATATTACAGCCACTTCTGTTGGCATTGCGTCTGAAGGTTATGTCGGAACATGGAGCAACATTGAACATTTTTTGTAAATATGTGCTCCTCTCCAAAAACCTGAAAAATCAAATTACAGAAACTTCGCTTAGAAAATGGGTCTAACATTAAAAATTGCCGACAATGGGACGGTACCGTTATATTTCGGCCATACAGAAAATATGTTTTTTATTAACCCTTTGTGGCCCAATGTTGCCCACAGGCAACAAAATGTTTTAGAGCTTATATTTTATATGCAGCTAGTAGATATGTATTATTTGGATTTCATATGTCAAGACCTGATTATGGACGACACATATCAAAAGAAAAATCAAAAAAATTCAAAATTTTGGTAAAGTTATGAGCATTTCAATATAGAGAAGAGGGTAAATATGTGTACAGTACTAATTTGTGTATACAGTCCAAATTATTTAAATCGCTTCGTATTCAAATTGTACAAATTCTACCCTCAGAATTATTTTTGATTCTTGTAAAATTGAATATAGAGAATAATATAAATTGATTTTTCTGACAATTTTGCATTTGGTTTTCTTGATATTGGACTTTAATTTTTCCGAAAGAATGTACTGTATCTCCCAAATGCAAGGATGTATCGATGTCAAATTTTGTGCATATCCTATTTAGGATAGTTGCATTAAATCTGTGAACAGGGTTAACAATGTTTTTTTTTTCTTTTTTCGTGTAACGTCAAACTGAAATCGGAGACTTATTTTACATATCTATACTAATAAAACAGTAATGACTGACCTAACTATTCATCAACGCCCAGACGAAACGGCTGAAGCTGGAATCTTGAAATTTAGGGTGAGGGTCAATCTTGGTCCAAAGGTGACAGATAAGGCTGGGTTTGTGGAAATTCGAACTAGAACTAAATGTGGTTCCATTTCTATTTCGCGAACCGGTAGAACTGGAACTCTTAATTTTGAAATAAGGGTCACGGATGGAGTGTAGAATAGATATAGCAAAGGATTTTTTTGACATTCGAACTACAAGTTCCAAAAAGTACTAAAATGTACCAAATTTGGTACAATTTCGTAGCATGTGAATGGAAATTTGGAATGCGAATTAAGGTTGAGAAGTAAGATGATTTAAGGAGATGGTTTTGAAAGCGTGTATATTTGACACAAATATAATTTGGAGGTACAAATGGAGCTAGAATCCTGAAATTTGAAATCAACATTTCCGTCGGAGTGTGGGATTAATATATGTATGTGGTTTTGAAAAAAGAAAATTAAGAACAAACTTTTCTATCAAGCTTTGAAAATAATGAACAGACAAAATTATTTATAAAGATATATCGGTTATAACTACCGTATCCATAGTCCCGAGAAGGAGTAAAAAACGTGCTAAAAACACCCAATTTAATGAATAAACATTATTCACCGGAAACAAGCTCCCCAAAATACTGACCTTTGGGGTGGACCAACATTGAGAATTTTTAGTCGGAAGATTTTCCATCATAATAATATAATAACAAATTACAATCAATGAGATAAGCACAGTAAGGAAAGTAGTAAAGTCGGACTGGGCCGACTATAAATCATTTGTGGCCATTTGAACGAACTTAAATACCTTTATCTATATGTAAACCGACTAACGTCAATCCCTACACATGCCATTCTAGAAAAACCATTTTAAATCGATTTTAAGGAAACTTGGCACACGCTGTTCGGTGTGCTCAATCTGACACCCTTTAGGTGTACAATTACCATGAATAGATCAAAATTATATATGGAAGCTATGCTATATCTTAATCTGAACCGATTTCAAGAAAACTTTACGAGATTAAATTATATTAATTTCAATATATTGTGTCAATCGGCCAAACATTGGGTCTTTAGTGCACAATTTACATTAAATCGGACGAAAAAAAAAATATATATATATATGTATATGAGAGCTATATCTATACCTAAACAAATTAGCTGCACCAAATTTCATCCAAATCGGATTATAAATGCGACCTGTACTTTATTTACAATTTAACACCAACAGAAGGACGGACACGCATAAATCGACTCAAAAATGTATCTCGTTTCGTATTGCATGTTACAAACATATGCACAAAGACATAATACTATGTACCACAGTGTGGTGCATGGTATTAACATGTGCCCAAAACCATCCAAATATCGAATATTGGGTGTCACCACCCCAAACATAAGCCAATATTGATCATTTGTGGACCAATATTGATCATTGAGTTACAGCCAATTCGGTTGAAGAACGTGTCAAAAACTCCCTAAAACCGAATATTTGGCGATACTGTTATAAATACCATCGAACTCTTCTGATAACGCAATCCATTAATCATAACTTTAGATCAATCTAACCTCATTTTCGAAAAACAAAGTCTAATGACCCCGTCGAACCATATAAACGCACCAAACAGTTAAATTTTGTGTACGGAGAGGCTTCTCAACAATAACTCTTGGGTATTCCGAGTCACAGGTGCGAACATTTTGCTTGTCGACGTCGAAACTGATGTTGAAATGAACCTCACCAGTCAAGATGATTTCTTCAATTTTATTCTAGGTAATTTTAATCACCAAAGACACGACATTGAATATGGTGTAATGCCGTTGAATACGGTGTAAGGTCTCATTAAAGACCCTGCCCGAAAAACTAAGTCGAATGACCCTGCCGGAGAATGAGAATAAAGGAGCGTCTCAGCAGAAAGTATTGGAGGTTTCGACCCCAGACGCTCAAAATTTTATTGTTGGCGTCGATAACATGCCAAAGATAGGTTGCGGGGTCAAAATTCAGGGTTTTATAATGGTCACCACAACCAATCATCAGATCCTTACGCCATGGATCAAATTGAGCATCTTATAGATACAATACATCGTAGGTGCGCTGCGTAATCAAAAATAATGGTTATGCTGTCGACTACTAGCAAAATTTGCTTAGTTATAAAAATAAATTAAAAAGTTGCTTTAGTTTTGACCATGCAAAAATTGGGTCAACTTAGTTTTCCATACAATATTTTTAATTTCAAAATAAATTTTACGTTTATATATATATATATATATATATTTAATAAATAAATTGCCTATTTATTTATCCAGTTTGCAATTTATGTTGCTTTAGTTTTGGCCACCAGTGTATTTTTCAAGATTTAAATGAAGAGAAAATGATTTACAACAATTTTTTGTTGTTGTTTTTTTTCTTATTAAAGGAAAGTCCTTAATTTCGATGGCGAGCATGATATCTCCTCACTGGAACATCGGAATCCGAAAATTCTAACTGCATTTGAAATAATACAAGAGTACATGGATTATTGAATTCGTTCAAAAATTAACAAAATGGCAGACTGCAGTTTGTGATTCTTAATGAGTTGAAATCTTTCCGACTGATTATTATAAATATGGATCCACTTTGTTAGCACTGATATAAATCAGTATCAATTTTTAATCCCTTTAACAAAATTTTAACCCCTTTAGAACTCCGTTATATCTGTTCACAATTCTCAAATATTGGTTGCTATTGAGAAGGGGAAATATCAGTAAATATTTAGGAATATGCATCATATAACTGTATCTCCTGATTTGATGTTTTTGCGAAATTACAATATAGGTACCTATTTTGAAATAAGTCCCATATAATGGCACCACCCATATTTCTATTTTTTAAGTTTTCATACATTTTGGCACCACTTTTTTATTATTTTGCTGTATATACATTTTATGATAATAAAGTTCCATGCCACGGCCAATCCCTCAATTGTTTGTTATTTGAAATTTCAACCAAAAATCCAAGTGAATTGACTATTAAATTTGGTATTTAAAATATATAAAGGGCAATATATGTTCACTGTTTGATATAGGCGTCACAAAGCAAGATCGGCATATTTTCCACATTACCAAATGTCAATGTATAAGCAATGCACTTTTCTCCATGATAAAATGATCTGTCTGTCCCTTCCTATTTTTAAAGAATTCGAAAACAATAGCTACTAATTGATATTGCAAATTTTTCAATTTTAATTGAAAATTTTCTTTTTTAGAACTTACATGAATTTTGGGCATTTTGTTAGCCGATTTTTTAAAACATTTTAAAATATAAAAATGTCTTCATAAAATTTTAGTAGTCGTTTTGATAATACTGCAGGACAGTTTTAAATGTAATTACTTTCAAATTATGCAATTTCAAAATTTTGAAGTTTTATATATTTTTTAAATAATTTTTACACTTTCAAAGGTGGTACTAGTTATTTGCGATTTTTTATTATTTATTTGTTTTGTTTTTATTTTATAATCTTCTTAATGCATGAACTAAATTCCAATTTTTGTTTTCAATAAAAACTACACATTTTTTCCATTTTCAAACAAAAAACTATTGAATGCATTTATAAATGCCTTGCACACATTTCCAACAAGTTACGAACAACACATTTTTTCCAAATTTTTTATTTTTTAGCTTTTTTCTAATCTTTTCTGTTTGCCTTTATTTTGAAAACAGATATTAAATGCTCTTGGTTATCGAACACCAACACTAAATAGCGCGCCTTTTTTCTACTTTTTGTCTTGACTGGCGGTAGTGTGCCGCCGCCACAGTCACGTTGTATCGACGATTATCAAACGAAACGATGAAAATCCACACTGGCACAACACATCGACGACGTTGCATGGAAAACTAAACGTTTCACTTTCTAGTCGACGATGCCTAACCCCACCAAGAGAGTGTGTGGCTGCCACAGGCCGTGGCAGAGGAGCACAAACCAAATCCGAAATGTAAAATTGAATTAGCAAAGCGGGGGCACGGCTGGCATATATCTTCCATATATCGTATCTGCCTGCCGCTTGTGCCGCCGAAGACGAAGAACAACAACCAAAGAAAATGTGTAGCAGAACTTATGTGGCAACAAATCAGAGAATAAATTGTGAATTGAGAAATATATGGAGGAGAGAGAATGACTGCCTTGATGATGTAAAATTATTTGCAAAAAAACACACAAAAAATAAATAAAACAAAAATTAAAAAAAAAAAACTCTAACAACAATATCTTTATATATGCTAGACCTTATTTACATTCAAATATCTCGTGTTGCTTCTAATTTTCATAGCCCCCACATATATATTTCAATAATTCCGCACATTATAGCGTCTATGCAATATTTCAGGTGAATGATCACATTAAATAAACAATTACAACAACAAAGTGGTGCAAAAAAACAAAATAAGAGCAGGAAACTAAGGTCGAACTTTCAATACCCTACACGACTAGGAGGAAAACATGCAATTTTTTAAAAATATAATAATATATAATTTGAATATTTACTTCTACTCCAAGAAATGTTTCAGATGTTTCCGATATCGTCAATTCTTAGAAAGATATCAAGGGGAAATTGAGACATATATCAAGTCTTAGCTTCTATGTATACAAAACAAAGTGTTAAGTTCGGCCGGTCCAAATTTTTTATAACCCAATCATGAACATTAAAAAAACCTAAAATCAATCGGAAGATTTATATGGGGGCTAAGTCATGGTAAATTTTTAGTAGGAAGATTTGACACGGAATGAAAATTTTAATATCAAACTAAGGGAGCTCCACTTAATTTGGTCCAATATTGGTATGGTGAGGAGATTTTCTGCGGAATATAAATCCCAAATATAAAATGACAGCCTTTTAGTTTATACAAGCACAAAAGTGTCAGTTCGTGTCGCCGCCAGTTAGTACCCCCCGCCTATGGTTTGCGGAGGTCTACGGAATTACATACAGGTTTTATTATTCGCTTTATGAGAATATGTTTTATCAAAGAGGATTCGGATTAAATGTTGATCAAATCTGTTATTCAATTCGCTTTCTGACCCTTCGTGAGGTACGTAACAGAAGACGAGGGCCGACGGGTCCCACTTGGTAAAGATAATAGGTAGTGGTTAAAATCGGAAATTCAATTCGCTTTATATTGGATTTATAAATATTAAAAATTTTGTGGGGGAGGTACCATAAGGAGTTGACCAAGGGGCCCATCTTCGGACTTGATCTATTTTGTGGGAGAGATACCAGAAGGAGTGGACCGATCTTGGAATTTGAACTAAGTTTGGAAGAGATATAAAGCAATAAGAGATAATAAAACCAATATTCCGATGAGGCACATTTTTGCCTATCAAATCGAAAGGAATATAGAGACGAAAGGAATATAGAGTACACAATTTAAATGAAATCGGGCGAAAATTATATAGGAGCTATATCTAAATCTAAACCGATTTTTACGACACTTAACACACATCATTCTAGGCTTTATTATGTACGCTATGCCAAATTTCGTGCAAATCGAATAGGGATATTGGTACATCATTTACATAAAATCGGACGAAACTATATATGGGAGCTATATCTAAATCTGTACCGATTTTCACGAAAATTAGCACACTTTATTCTGGACCTAATTCATTACGCTATGCCAAAATTCGTCCAAATCGGAAGATATATAGGGACTTTGGTGCACCATTTACATTAAATCGCACGAAAATATATATGGGAGCTATATCTAAATCTGATCCGATTTTCTTCAATTTCAATAGGGTTTATCCCTGGTCCAAATAAGTGACATGTGCCAAATTTCATTCAAATCGGATCATAAATGCGACCTGTATTTTGTTTACAATTGACGGACGGACACGCATAAATCTACTCAGAAAGTGATTCCATGCATATTCTCAAAGGGAACCATGTGTCTATCTCACTTCCTTTTGCCTGTTACAAACAAAGACAGAATACCCTGCACCACAGTGTGGTGAATGGTACAAAAACAACAAAAGAATAGAAGTCCAGAAGCAGGACCAATGTGTTGTTTTATAGAAGACCAATGTTTTCAAAAGCCTCACGATCTGGTCGGAAAAAATGTATTGTTATAGAGGGATATTCCATTAGATGGATCTTTAGAAGGCAGAAGGGGTCCTTATAGGAGACAATATCTGCAAGTATTATTATGTGAAATATATCATTGGATGGATCTGTAGAAGAAAGAAGTTCTCCCTATAGAACAAAGGGAGAAGTTATCCTTATTTCGGATCCAGCAGTTCAAAATCCCCACGATCGAGCCGAATAAAGATATAGCATAATTCGAAAAATTTACCAAATTTCGTTTTTATACCCTTCACCACACTGTGGTACAGGGTATTATGTCTTTGTGCATATGTTTGTAACAGGCAAAAATAATCGAGATAGACCCATGGTTCCTTTTGAGAATATGCATAGAATCACTTTCTGAGTCGATTTACGCATGTCCGTCTGTCCGTCCGTCCGTCTGTCCATGTTAAATTGTAAACAAAGCACAGGTCGCATTTATGATCCGAATTGGATGAAATTTGGCACAGGTCACTTAATTGGCCCAAGGACGAACCCTATTGGAGAAAATCGGTCCACGTTTAGGCATAGCTCCCATATAAGGGTTCCCCAAAATTTTCGGTATTTTGAGGTTCTTGAGCACGTTTTTTAACTGAATTCGCTGAAATTTTGTACTTTGAGTTCTTATTGTGTAGCAAATCTCCCTACCAAAAATTATAAATAAAGGTCCCTTTTGTCGGATAGCTCCCATATAAGGGTACCCCAAAATTTTCGGTATTTTGAGGTTCTTGAGCGCGTTTTTTAACTGAATTCGCTGAAATTTGGTACTTTGAGTTCTTATTGGGTAGCAAATCTCCCTACCAAAAATTATAAATAAAGGTCCATTTTTTCGGAGAGCTCCCATATAAGGGTACCCTCAATTTTCGGTATTTTCGGGTTCTTTGTCTCGTTTTATAACTGAATTCTCTGAAATTTTGTACATTGAGTTCTTATTGGATACCAAATTACTCCATTAAAAATTATAAATATAGGTCCAGGTTTTTTGGTAGTCCCCATATAACGGTACTCCCAAATTTTTGGTAGTTTGGGGGTTCTGATCGTATTTTTCGACCGAATTGATTGTTCTTATTAGGTAGCAAATCTCTCCACTGTAAATTATAAATATTGATCAATTTTTTCTGGTAGCCCCAATATAAGGGTACCCCCCAATTTTCGGTATTTTGAGGTTCTTCAACCAAATTCTATTTATACCCTTCACCACACTAAGGTACAGGGTATTATGTCTTAGTACATATGTTTGTAACAGGCAAAAGGAAACGAGATAGACACATGGCTCTCATATATATTTTCGTCCGATTTAATGTAAATGGTGCACCGAAGTCCCTATATATATTTCGATTTGCACGAAATTTGGCAAAGCGTAATGAATTATCTCTAGAATGATGTGTGTTAAGTTTCCTGAAAATCGGTTCAGATTTAGATATAGATCTCATATATATTTTCGTCCGATTTAAGGTAAATTGTGCACAAAAGTCCCTATATATCTCTCGATTTGCACTAAATTTGGCTTAGCGTAATGAATTAGGTCTAGAATTATGTGTGTTAAGTTTCCTGAAAATCGGTTCGGATTTAGATATAGCTCCCATATATATTTTCGTCCGATTTAATGTAAATGGTGCACCAAAGTCCCTTAATATCTTTCGGTTTGCACTAAATTTGGCACTGCGTAATGAATTAGGTCTAGATGTGTGTTAAGTTTCCTGAAATCGGTTCAGATTTAGATATAGCTTCTATATCTGACCAAATGTATAGGTTCCAGAATGGCATGTTTATGGATCGATTTTCATGTTAGTGGTCCTTCAAAAATTCGACGTCTGTTATGATTCATCGGTTGAATATGCCCAAAGTGGTGAAGGGTATCATATAGTCGGCACCGTCCGACTTTACTACTTTCCTTACTGGTTTTTTTTTTTGTAAATGGGATATGAGGTTTTCTTTTAGGAGATCAGAAGGTCTTGTTATAGATTTCTCGAAGGTCTTCTTTTAGAAGACCAGAAGCATCAGAAAATCTTCCCTATTATTCTCACATGACCAGTTTTGGCGAAGAAAGTATTTGTTCCACTTTCGTTGGATTTGGCTGGTAGATTGATATTTATTTTCGTGGTGTGGTGTAGTAATGCCCCGGGTTCGGGAGAAAAAATTATTCTAAATGCGTTTTTGAATATTTATAAAAG